TGTGGGGGGGGGGGGGGGGGGGGGGGGTGGGGTGTCCTACAACATCCACTAACTTATCAGTGAAAAACTTTAGAGACCAAAATCAGCTAGCAAGAGGTCTGTGTATCTAACCTGGAGACTTAACTATTAGGCTATAGTGTACTCTTGTGGTTTTGATTCCTTTCTGAAAGTGTGATTTACTTTACTTTCATCTTCTGGTCTGCAGAAGGGTGCCTAAGCTGACGGACAAAAGTGCCAACAGCATCGGCTGTAGAGCCAAAGTCTACCCTGGTGCTTAAGCTGTCTCAAGCTTGTTCAAGGGATGTTACAGTGCTGCAGCATCAGAATATCAGAATGATGTTTCTCTCTGTACACAAAACTCTCTTCAGTTTTCTAGGACAGAATAGATCTGCCAAACTGGAGGTCTACAATGTAGATATCTGTATGCGATAACAGTGTAAGGTGAGATGAATGCTCAACCCTTTCAGTGTGGGGAAGCAAACACAGTGAAGTCATTGATGGCAGTAAAGACTGTGATCTTGCAGGAATCTTTGCGGTCTTTTTTTTATATCTAGTTCTCTAAACATATCAAGCTGAAGTCAAAATATTCAAGAATGTTGCTTTCACTGTGAGGTTTGGCTCTCTAGATACAATTGCAACTCGCATCTTCTATGTGTGAATAACGAAACATATGCGAATGACTGTTGTGGTTTTTTTTTTTTTCTTCCCCTTCCCCCTCTTTCTGCCCACTTCACTGTATTTACAGTTACAGAAACCTGCTCAAAACAGACTGGAGCCAGGCAGAACCGTCCAACTTCTATGGAAAAGCCTCAGGTAAACTGACTGGAATGGATATAACAACTTTGTTCAGGGCAGTAATATTTGTTACATACAATGGTACTGGAAATGACACAACTTTATCAGGAAATAATGAATGTGGCTTGAATGCTATTTGTTCTGTAGGACTGATTTACATGGAGATGTGAAATCTGCTGTTTGTTGGAAGTAGCTTATGTATCTGTATAGAAACTAATGTACTGGGAGAACTCCTGAAGCTTCTACATCTTACAATCATTGTGGTAATTCTGTGTTGGGTGAAGGAGAAGGGAAAAGAAGAGAGGGGGAGAATGCTCCACACACTCCACCCCACCCACCCCTAAAAAAGGGAAATCCTCTCCTACTTGATCTTCAAGTATAGAATTGACCTAATAAACAGTGCAAACCCCACTTAAATATTTTTTCTTTGTCTATGAATAACCTCACTTCTACACCTGAAAATAAATAAATTTTACAATATACTAGTCACTTTCAGGATACTTTATATTACTTAATACTATGGTATTATTATAAGCAACAGCAGTTCTATCTAGAAATAATTTTTAATGCCTCTAAGACTGAATTGCTCTATTCCTGTATACACAGTGGGTGTGAATTCTTGTCAGGTTAGCTGTCTTTCACAATTTCCCTTGAAGCTACCAGAGATAGGGACCTCAGATTTCAAAGCAAGATCACAGCAAAGCTTTCATTCTTCTTACAATAGACTCGCTTTCACTTGAAGTGCTTAGTTGGATACAGGAAACTAGGCTGCAAATTTATTATTCAGCTGCTCCTCCTGCATCTTCATAAGCAAAGACTGAGGGGAGGAATTATGCAATACCCTTTTTTGTTTAAAAAGTGCAGCCTCTGCAGTGGCAAAATGACAGCAATAAACTTGAGAAAACAGGATACAGGAATTAAGCTTCAGCTTGGTCAGTTATAACAGCCGCTAACTGACTTTCTGACTAACAACAAACATCATACTTCAAATCCTCACATTACATTTTGCTGTCGTGGGTTTTCTGTATCTGTCAGACCAAGACCGTGCACTTCACCTCATGGGTTTTTGTGATCTAAACTCTTAGGAAATGCTAGATTAGTATCACAACACAAGGACTACTGAATCCTATAAACAGTGGAAATGGGATGGTGGTGGGGAAGGGGGATCAAATAGCTATAAAAACTAAGATTTGTCTGTATTAACTACTGCAATCTCTTTCTAGAGAATACCACTGTGTTTACAGAAGACATTCTGCAATGCTGTTCCGCAAGCACAGCCCTCATCTCTTACTAGTAGCTTGCAAAATTGTGGATCATCCGAACTGCAGCAGCCACCTCCCAATGTACCGCAGAGGCTTCAGCCTTTACAGAATAGATCACTTAAACCATCAGAACAAAATTCCCAGTCTCCCTCAGGTAACATCTTCATGGCAAGAAGCATGGCTATATTTGACTGCTGAGGAAACAAGGGATGGCAGAACTAATGTTTGTATTGCCCAATAAGCTTATCTGGGTGTTTTGGAGGTTATCAAGTGGGTAATAGAAAAGGTTCTTGCAGGGTATGGATTATAAAGAACATGATGTAAATAAGTGTGGCAGCACTGAGGACTGGCTAGGGTTTCAGATTACTGGGGCACTTGTGGTGGGGCAGAATAGTATTAAAACAGGAGGAGGTGTTCATGCCTCCCTCCGATGAGATGGAAAATGATGCCTTAATGAACCTAGGGTTACAAGAAGTGCTGAACACCTTAAGGCAGGAATTAGATGCTTAAACCCATCACTACCACTCAAGTTCATGTCTGAAATCCCTATTAGCTGAATTTAAGGCTTGGTGCCATAGGCCCTCTGAGTTGATTGCTGTTATCTAGACATATCAAATATTAAGTTGCTTAGAAACTTGATCCAAGGAGCTATTCTTTTCCCTCCCTCCTTCAAAAGGTCAAAACTTCAGATACTTCTGAGTTTTTGGTAAAAGACAGCTTGAGCTTGTAGCTGATTAACTGAGAAATGAATTAAAAACTAATTAAAAAATAACTGTCTCAAATCATGGAGCTGGGATACATATCTTCATATCCAGTTAATCCACAGATGGTAAACAGTGATGTAATTTTGAGATGTAGGACTGCGCTTGGCATGTTAGGGGAAATCATACACTACTTCTTTCTCAGGTATAATCTCAGCTGTATCTGCTCTGCATGGTGCTTCAGACCAGCAAACACCCCGGAGTACTCCAAGGACAAATCAGTCTTCTGTCACCCAGTGCACACATGCTCTTCCAGAGGTGAATACATGCTTCTCTCCAATGTATTCATTTCAAGTAACTTCTTTAAAGCATGTTCTTACTCCTTTAAATAAGATCTAGTATAATATTCCAGGCTTGAATTTGATGCAATGAAGGCCACATAAGGTTTACAACAAAAGTTATCCAAAACCCCACTTACAAAGTGATTCTTATCCTTTAATAGGGCATTAATTCATTGCCTGTTGGCTACAATACAAAAGGAAAGAGTTTGGCTAATCAATATATCAAGTTTATAATATACTATAAAGCTTATTTTATTTCTTTTCAGTGCTATAGCTTAAACTTAAGGAACCCTTGCGTGCTTACAGGTTAAAAGCCCACCCTGTAAACCTACAGTTTCATAGAAAAGATGGGCAGCTTATACTATATGCTCCTGTTTTCTAGAAATATCAATCTCATAAGGTCAGTAATACTCTGAAGACCCTAGAGGCTATTCTGGAAAAGTGTTGCTTTTTCTTCCTGTTCCTAAAGCCATGGAAACTGGGGCTTTCAGGGTCATGGATGAGGCTGTGAAATATTTAGTCACTGATTTCTGTCTTAATATATTCATGGAGAGTATCCTGGTTAGAAGGGCCTCTGTGTTACAAAAGAAGTTATAGATGTTACTGCAGCAGCATGATCTCTTCCATCCTAAGATGTTTAACTATCTTTCTCAACATGATTTAAAATACAGCTGCTTTAGCCAGGTTTTAATAGCTTTTATTTTCTGAAATGGATAGAAACCACCTCTTGAGTCTATGAGCATAAGAATGTGTCCTGCAAGAAAGGAAGAAAAGCAGCTTGCCCTTTCCCATTTGCGTCCACTATCCAAAGGAAGCAAGTAGCATATATTATGAGACTCCAGTTTGTGCAACACATTCCCCAGTTCAAGGGGATTACTACACAGTCTTGCACAGAGAAAAAACTACCACTGAACTGAAGTAATACAGCTGCCCTTCACCCTGATCCATAAGCTAGAGTGGAGCAACTGGCTTTACAACAGTAAAAGCCAACTTCTATTATGTTGCACCATGTTAAGGGTTAAAGAGCTTGTAAACAGTTTCTCATATTCTACCCACTCCATCACTCAGGATCTCTGAGCAGTTCATGTTCTAAATCCTAAGTGTTAATGTAAGAACTTGCTTTGACTACCATAGTATAAATGAAATCTAATTCTTCCCTGGTGTTTACAGAAGCTAGAGCTGCAATGATTTACTGCTCTAAGCCTCTAAATATTTAATCCTGCTGCTGCATAATAAGAATCCACATGTTTAGCACTTCAGAACATATTTTGAAGTCTAACTTCTCTTCTAGGTATCCAACACAACTTCCCAGGTTGACAGAGCTGATTGGAGTAAACAAGCTGAGAAAACAATACCTCTAAACAAATCAAATAAACTTCAAAACAAGGCCAGTGAGAGAATTGCAGATTCAATATCCATAAGTCAAGAACAAAGTATGTATTGTCATAATAAAAACTGTAACTGATATTAGGGGTGCAAAGTTAAAAATGTATATGAACCTGGTTTAAAGAAATAAAATGCTGAATACTTGTACGTTAATCAGTTTGCAGAATAATGGAGGGGGTGCAGTTTTCTCTTGTTCTTTCTTTTTCTTTTCGATTTGCTGCCTTTTTTTTTTTTTTACGTTAAATGTATGCTTGGTTCTTGTTCTGTGTTTTAAAATATATAAAGCAAATGACTTTTTGATTTAAGAACTTAGCTTTCTGAATTTAGTACTAGAGATAAGTAAGCCGGTCTTCCAGGAAGTCTGAGAGAACCAATGCTCCAATCTGTCAAATTTCACTGGTCTTTAAGCTGTCTTCTGATGAAGATTCATGGAGCTCTTTTCCCAGGGCACTTTGTGTGTAATTTGAGTTACCATCTCCGGCTCTTGGTGACAAGGATCTGACAGTAAAGCAATGTCAAACAGGCTTTCACCATGGAACAAACTTTCAATTATTACAAGAACACATGTTCCCTGAAAGCTACTTTCCATATAGAGATGCATCAGACTTCATACATACTTCAAACTAAAGAATTCTGAGCTGGACACTGAACACCCATGCTGAGAGCCTAGTGTTACCAGACATGATTGTTTTGGTTCCTCCTTTACTCTTTCCTCTCTAGACTACCTGTATAGGTTTGAACAGGGCAGGAAACAAGCTTCTGAAAACTTGATTGAAATGAAAAGGCACAGCCTTCTCACTGATGAATTCTTTAATTGTTGCTAAAGAATAATGTTGGGTACCTGAGTTGTATTAAAGCAATCCTAAAAATGGAGATTTAATTCTCCAAGATGTTCTATTCGGTATTTTCATGGTCTTAACACACCTATCCATACACATACTGACCCCCTTTGTTTAGACTTGTAGCAGCTGGAGCTGATACATGTGTTCCATAGATTCAGCTAATGACCTTCACTTACAAAGTTTTGAGGTGCTTAAAACTTGAATTCTTGTCCTGCATACTGCATGACTGTAACTATCAAGATCCTGGTGTTATCTTAATATTTTAAAGGGCTGAGAAAACAAGCAGGAATAAATCAAGTTCACTTTTTTAATATTAATAGAAAAAAAGCATAGCCAAAACTATTGGGAAAGCTTGCTCCCTTCCACACTTAGTTTTTTACTGCTTAGTCTTTATTCCTCTTAATTTTCTATTCCTAATCATTATTTAATTTGTACTGTTTCTATCTTCTCCCCCTTTTTCAAGGGACAGTCGTAGAGGATTTTCTGTGTTTAAATGGAAACTACCCAGTAATGAGCCTCTGCCTTTGAGTACACCTGAACTTCAGCATTATGTTGCAGAGCTGAGCTTTTAACACTGTTACATGAGTGTAGTTACCTGCACCCTTCCCTAATACAGTGGTGTTTGACTGTTCCTGCAATGATACATGCCCCAACTCTGCTCAGTGTTATCTTAGCCTTTCCACCATCAACTCCTGTAGAAAACTGGAAGGGTGGGGGTGGGGAATACAGGATTTTGGCTTTTGTTTTTTTTAAACAACAACAAAAACTTTGCTAATCTGGAACTGTTGTAGGACCTGTAATCTACTGATAGAAAGTGTAGAGAGTGCTCAGTACTATATGTGTCTACTTAGATCAAACCAGGGAAACTCATTTTAGAATTGGATGCTTAGAGCAACTCGTTGAATTTTGTAGAGAATCCCGCCGTCTCAGGCATTTCTGTGAGGTTACCTGCATCTCTGAAACAAGAGTTCTTGATTTTAGACTTGTGACACCTCTGATGGTATGGGTGCAGGCTTGGTGTATCACTGAATTCAGTGGTGGCTTGTTAAGAAGCTTAACTTATGAAACTGGTAACCACAAGTTTCCCTTCAGATTAAAAAGCACTGTCTCTCAATGAGAGGTTCTGTGAAGGCTGGCATTGCTGTAAGTAGCTCTAAAATGCGTGTTTTGAAGCCCATGGCTGCAAATACTTTTGACGCAGCCTCATATTCCTGTGTTATATCTAGAGCTTTAAGACAGACATGACTATAAATTTAAATTTACCTTAAGTTTGCTTTAGATAGAACTTGTTGGCGGGTATAACAAATTTGATCTCAACAATGGGGGTTGATCAACTTGATCTTAACAATGGGGTTAGATATTTTTGGTTATGTGAAGGTCTTGCTTTATTTTGGAGTATTCAGTGCTCAATACTCTCAAGTTTCTTATATGAAGATTCAAGCTGCCTGTATGAGGATAAATGATTGATGAAAGAAAGATGCCTATTGTATGAAGAGGGACACCCTCAATACAGTAGTTCTCTACTCTGGAGGAGAACAAGTCTCTGATAGCAGAATTTGATCTAGGTAAACCTTGCTTAACTGACCCTGGAATCCATGAGAATGGAGATATCAGGATTTGGAACACTTTTCAATAGTATTTGAGAGACTTCAGAGGTCTTTCATCCTATTTTATTCCACTGCATAGTAAAAACTCTCCTGCTTACTTGCAATTATACTATCTCACAGGCAATGCATGGGGGCATAGGGTAAAGGCCAGGCACTGTTTTTGTCTTGCCTTTTGGAGACTGTGAGGTCTTTCTGAAAACCCCTTTCATGACAAACTGGCTGAGGGTTTGATATTCTGCCTTCAGCATTCTAGATTCAAACATCTGAAAACTTTATCCTTTGCATAAAAAAAAAAAAAAGCAACCTCAGTAAGTTTCTTATTAAAAATTTACTTAAAATAAATACTGAAACATCTCAAACTGCAGTAGAGGATCATTGCTGAATGATATAAAATGTTGTTTATATCTGGTTCTAAAATAATGGCTTTATCAGAGTACACCTAGATTTTCATCCCAGAAGCTCTTTAGAAGGGGAATATAACAAAGTAATACAGAAGATTAAAAAAAAAAACACCCTACCCTACAACCCGTGGCTTTTGTTAACTGTGTGGTATTCTAGCCGGTCCCTAATATTACAAAAGTCTCTTTTTAGGCTTACCATAATGACTGTAGGAAATCGTATCTGTTCCTGCATTTTAAAAGTTTTTTGAAGTCTTAAAAGGTTTGGGGAAAGTTTTTTTCACACAAAATAGTATGACTCTTCTACAGTAACACAACATATCAGGACTGTTAATCTGAAGTTAGTATTGTCAAAATAGCACTTCCACTTTGCCTGTGTAAGTGGTGGGCTTTTTTCCCCTCAAAAGTAATAAAGAGGTAGCAGCATGGAGTATTTGTACATCCTGTAGGCTACTGCAAATGTGATGACTAGCTCTTACTGGCTGACCTATTTGTTTTGTTTTGTTTTTTTTAAAAAAAGGGAAATAGGCTGGAGAGCTTCAGGCTGAGTTTACATGATGAATGAGGTACTCTTAAATGATGCTGGAATCAAAATGGAAGAGGGCTAGGTGGGGAGGGGACAGGAGGGGAGCAACTGGCAAGGTGCTGTGTTGAGACTTTCTGATGAAACTTTTTGGGTATTCTGCTGGGACCTCTCCTAGAATTAACCAGGAGTTAATTTCTCATCTATCATTGAGCTTAACTATTCCTTTCCCTGCCCCAAACTGGAGAGAAGTGGTCCAGTTCAACTTAAGCTTAGGAAATGTTTGGGAGCATTTCTGTCATTCTGAACCAAATAAGAAGAAGAAGAAGAAAAAATTGCAGTGTAAATTCTTAAGTCAATTTTTAGAATGACAAAATTTTTATCACTTAAATTTGCGGAAACTTAGTCCATAAAATCAACATGAGTAAAAAAGCTTTTTTGTTCTTCCATCAGGTCATCGTATGCCTAATGATAAACCTAATGGTAAAAACATGCTAGAGCTAAAATCCAAAATTCTTCCAAGAAAGGTAAGTGTTGCTCAAGTCCTATTTGAGGAGGAGAGCTTGAATATGCTTACTAGGATCGATAATTCCCTGTCCTGGGATCCTCTCTGAAAATCTGGTCTTTTATGACTCAAATATTTAGTGTCTGATAGGTCTTGGGCATTGTTATAACCTGTACAGATTTATCTCATTTCTAGTGCTAAAAACAAAACAAAGAAACAAACAAACAAACAAAAAACACCAAAAAAAAAAAATCTATGGGCTCTGATCATTTCAGAAGGTAAATAATACAAGATTAAGTTAAAAATAACATATCCATATTGTCATTAAAAATATGGCTTCTCTTATCTAGTTTTAATATTTAAACTATTAGTGTTCCTTGATCTAGTTCTAATATTCCAAGATATTGGTGTGCTTTCCCTTGCTGATCCAGTAACAAAAATACGAGTAGTGTGGAATATAGCCTTGGGTACTATTGAAAAACCTGTTCTGAAACCGGACGATACGCTTTTGATGATGTTATTACAAATAGGAAACAATCTGAAGGTTTTTATGAAATTTAAACAAAATACTTCCTAGTATACAATAGATTATCTTAAATGGAGGAACAGAGGAATTTTCTTATCTATTATTTAAATTCTTCTGTGGTAAGCAGCCATTTGAAAACATCAGATCAAAATTACTACATCAGCCTCTGGACCTAAAAAGTTTGTATATAGTCTGTTGAATTAAAATATTCCTAGGATTTAAGCACTTAGCGTTCAGAAAGCTATTAACTAACTTACTGAATTCAATTCCAAAAATATGTATTTCCTTCATAAACACATGACCTTCTACTAGAAGCAGTACTTCTTAAGAATACTGGGTTTTTGCTGTTTTACACTGTGAAGAAAGTGCCACTGGGGGGGGGAGAAAACATGGGTATTTAAAACAAACAAAACCCACGAGCCTGATACAAAACCATTGTTATGTGAGGATTATGTATAGAAACGAGATGGATGTTCTCCGTATTAAAATATTGTCAACGGACTTTGCATAAGCTCAGTCTTGCGAATTCATGTTTTCTGGAATTAAAAAATGGAGAGGTGGACATAAAGGATTGGGTAAGAATAGCTACAAATGCTAACAATTTTTAGTATACTGCTAAAGAATCTCAAAGTTTATAAGAAAACATATTGAAGTCTGCTTAGATTGCTGTATTTGCACTAATATTCTGCCAAAGTAAGGATATTTTGTTGTAGATATTCCCAAATAGGTCCAGTCAAAACAACATTGTGCCTAGTGTAAGAACTAAGCGGATAATGGATGATTAGTAGTGGTAGAGTATTTTTGCCTTTTCCATGTTTTCCTTTTTCTAATAACTTCAGGATACAGGATTTAAGAATATAGTTTCCTGGGTAAGCTTATGTAAAACGATGATGCTTCCAGCTCCGATAAAAACATCTGCTGAGAGCTTCAAACAGTTCAGGAAAGCAGCATTAAAGAAGAGGAGTGGGCAAGCACAGGACTTAAAAAGGCCGCTGGTGCAAGCTGGGAAGGAACTGCAAAATCTTCCTCAAGAAAAAGAGAGGTTTGTAGCCACATATGCTTAAATATTATTCTATTTTTTGCTTGTATGGTACTGGGTGGCTTAGTTATTCAGGAACAAGTGGTTTGGATTAAGTAATTGCCATGTGTCAGAGAAAGGGGGGGAGCTGTACCACTCTAAGCACAACTGCACATCCAAAATGCATAAAGTGGCTTTTTCCCTTGCAAATCAGTATTATTTCAGCAGAAAGAAACTTCTCAGGTTTCTTTCTTTTTTTTTTTTTTTCTTTTTTTTTTTTTTTGTCCCCTGGAGCACTCAATTCTTCTGGTCATGACCAGAATTCACACCTGTCCTCACTGTCTTTCTTACCTATATCTGTAGCCAGGAAAATCCCCATCTTATTGCTATCCTAAGGGGAAGCAGGATAATCTAGTCTTCGAGACTGTGGTGTTTATATAGCTGAAGGAGTTCCAGTATGCATCACTTCAACAGCAGAATTCTTTGCATTGCTGTAGAGAAACATATTCAATCAGCTACTGCTGTTGTATTCTTCCCTCATTGTTTGCAGCCACTGTTTTAGTGAGTGCCCACATATGTATCCCAGCCTGAGGTCTATTATTATGCTGAGTGGGATAAGTGACTGCCTACTAATTACTGCATTGCAGTAATATCTTAGATTGCTGTTTGCCACCTTTTTGAAACTCTGCTTTCTGTAATATTTCCCTCTTCAGTAGTCTTGATTTTTGTCTTGTCTCTTTCACCCTGTGAAAGATAAGCCTGAGCCGGTTCCTAAATTCACCTGCTCCTGCCCATCGCTGGCTGTATTAGAATAGATCACTGGTTTAGAGTGTATTATTTTAATAAACTGAGCATTTGAGAGACTTGAGTACACTCCTTGTTCAGAACGTATAGTGAACAGTCCAGGCACCTTCAGCTACTACAGGTTTCCACAAGGAGGAAGCGAGGCATGTAGCTCATGTAGCAATATGGAATAAGACATTACAGATGCTTGCCTGAAGTTAGTGAAATCTAACTCAAATAACTAGTTAAAGAGGAAGAAGGTAGAATCAAAACATAACAGGCCAAGAAAGTATCAGAAATTTAAGTGTGTATGTCTGTCAAAGAAAGTGCATGTAAGCTTTGTGTAGCATGTATATAAATCCTGTGTGCATATTGATTGTAGTAGAATAAGGTTTCCTGTGTCCCATTTCCAGCCCAACAATTGTGTGCACATACCTCTCGCAAAGGGAAATTACTATGAATGAACATGTAAAACAGAACCACAGTTTGAGTGCTATGCACTGATTTAAGTTATTTGCAGAATTCTCTTCAGGTGCAAAGGCTTGTTACAAAGAAAAAGAAGAAACAACTTTTATTCTATACCAATCTCTTCTGCTTTCTTTAAAGGGGCCATGAAGGCACGGGATTGGATGCCATGGCAGTGATAGACTGCGAGCCCCCAAAAGACCAAAAGAGTAAACAACTGCCCGAAGCTCAACGACACACTCTTATTCAAGACCGTAACTTGGCTAGAAAAATGGAACAAGAACGCAGGAGGCGAGAAGCAGTAAGTTGCTGACTCTTGCCAGCTGATTTTGTTTCAACTTCAGTAGAGAATAAAAAATGTTAGCTCAGGTCCTTGTTTTAAAGGGCCTGAATGATGGAAAACAACAGAACTATGCTACCTGAAGAGTTAGTCCAGAAAATGAAATAAGAAACCCAAAGTAGGTCTTCAAGTGGTGGAATATGAAAAACTATCTGCTTGGTCCTATTACTCCCATAAGCTTAGCATAAATTGCATGGTAAAATCAAATTTTAAAGGGGAGTCCCTGCTCTTTGAACAACTTCAAACCTCAAGTCTTGCAAACTGTCTATCCTCTTTAACATATTCCATGTCAACAAAAGTGCTAGTCATACTGTTCTGGTCTGAAATATCAAAACTGAGCCTTTTTAGATCTAACTTACTGGTTTTATTGGTGTAGGTAACGAGTGTTTTTTAATTGCTACTATTTTTAAAATTTTTTTTTAATTCATAATATTGTACAACAGAATGTAAGAACTGCAGTGTTAAATCATGCCTAGATTCAGATAAGGTCTACTGAAGCTTTCATCCTGTTCAGCTCTTTTCAGAGAGGACTTCAACAACATGCACGCTCAAACTTGCAATAACAGAGGAAGCATACACTTTTGGGAAGAAGCTTTGTAGTTTTTTCTTAAATCTTTATTAAATATTTGACCTGCATAGTATTAATTAATGTCCGACTGCTCAGAAAATACACTAATTTGCTTTCTTGCAGATGGCTTGTACAATTGATATGAATCTGCAGAGTGATATTATGGCATCTTTTGAAGAATATCTTGAGTGAAAGCTGTAGTTAATGTAGAACTTAACTTCAACACTACTACAAACTGTACAACTTTGAAAATGTACTAGTTACAATCTTAAATGCTAAGACCACTTTAAAGAGCATGTAAGCTCCTCTAAAATGCTTAATATTAAAAGCTTGTTCACTGACACTTGAAGCATCACAAGATCTTTTTGCTGCTTGTTTACAATATATGTAATCTAGTCTGCTACACAGTGGAACATAGTTGTTCTTTTGATTAGTTTTATATGTTGTGGATATATATATATATATGAGAAAATATCAGTTTTTTTCTCATTTTTTTAAATCCATTTCTTTCAGAAACACTTGAGAATCTGTTATACTGAGCATAGCCAAATTCTTGTGTTTGACTGTATTAAGTCATAGTATACTAAATATACACCTATAGAAACTACTTTAAACCAAGGTCTTGTCAATTATGTGATTACTATTAAAACAATCACTTTACTATGACACGCTTGCACAGAATCTGGGCTGTGACAAAAGACTTCTATAACAGTGATAACTTCTAAAGGGTGTGTAACACTATTTGTAATCATAAAAAAACATTTCCTGGAACTCTGTAATTTCAGCAGCAAATCCTGTATACTTGCATGTCTTTTAAGGCCCAGACATGTTGCTCTTCTGTTTAATGTATTTTATGTTAACATAACATTTGGATAAGGGTGCAAGCATGTTTGCCAAATGGTTCTGGTTCTTCACAGAAAGAAATTATCTAAAACATCCCATTTCTGGCTCCAGTTTGAAAGGCTTTCTGATTAATGTGAGATTTTATTCCTGTTGGGATACTTGTCTGAAGTAGAAACTAGAGTGTAAAAACCCTATGTTCTTGTTGATTACATATAGCTATCTCAAAATTAAGTACAGGACTAATAAAACATTGTTTTATAGAATTAATATCAAAACACAATGTGTATTACAGAAATGTTGGGTGGAAGTGGGCCCCCTCAAGATAATCTAGTTCAGGGGTCTCCAAACCTTTTTCATCATGCACCGCATCAGTAAAAAAATTTAAGCATGCACCCCCATGACATGTATATTTATTCATTTATAAATTATATACATGTTCTACTGTACTAATGTATTATGTACAGTATAAGAAAATACATAAAAATAGAAATTAAAAATATTTTAAATAGTGTTTATTTAATTTTGCTTAGTTATGTTTATTTTGTTCTGTAATTACAAAAAAATTTGTTTGTATTAAGTATTTTCTTCCCACACCCCACTTTGGAGACCACTGATCTAGTTGAACCTGCCCCTCAAAACTCTCTCTCCCTATGGAGACCTCTGGTCTGTTGAGTTCCTGGATCAAAATTGGAAGTGAAGGTAACACTGCCAGTGTTGTGGTGAGGATCTGCCACAGACCACCCAACTACGTAAACTAAGTGGACAAAACTTTCTATAAGTAACTGAATTTTCAGATAAAGGAAATCAATTGCATCTAAATTCATAAATGATAGCTAAAGCATGCCTAGAAATGGTAGCCTGGTTTTTCAGGTAGCAGACTGATGAGCTAGTGCTAGTTCCAAAGAATCTACTCTGCAATAAAATACTGCTCTGTATCTTCTACTTCTATCATTGCTGGAATGGTAGTATTTCATTCAACAGCAGAAAGACTGTGTATTGACAAATGCTCAGATTGGGGTATCACCCCTTGAAATGTCTAGGGAAGTCCTCTTACATGAGCCTTGCCTGGATGCATGCTCAAGTCTACGCTGTTTGGGAGATTTGAGTACTTGGCTAGGAAGGGGATTTGGGTCGAAAGATGAGTTGTAATATAAAGCGGTGCTGTTATGTTGTCGTGTTTCACATCCAAAGTGATTTAGGCCTGCCTTCATTTGTAGTTTATACATCATTAATAGCTATTTGTCCTGCAATAAAACATTACAGTTCACAATCAGGACTCCCTACCTTGCTGTCATCTGGACATACTTTTTCTGACTGGGCTAATGCAAGCTCAAGATCTCTTCCTTTGGAAATAGGAGGTGACGGAGGGGAGGGCAAGAACTTATTCTCTGTATTTCATCCATTCTATATAACCATATGTGCATTGCTAACAGTATGAACTGGTACTCTTGCCCCTTCAAAACTAGCTTCCATGACTGTATATTGTCATGATGACTTAAAGTCACAATGTCAGTGCTGCTAACGCTAATCTGATAAACCCTTTATTTGCAACCTACAAGCGAGTTAAAGAGGATAATCGGTTCCTACCTCCAGAGAGAAGGCTGAGTTCAGAGGAAAGGGAGATGGCCTCCAAACATAAGTGTAGCAAGCCTATGATGATTGTGTTTGCCCAAAGCTGTCACTGCGCTCAAGCAAGCAGGAATACCACTTGTGCAAATATGGCCTGCAAACAAAAAGCTGCTTAAACAGACTAAGTATTGTTAGTTACCTAACAGCTAAAACGTGTACTAAGTTCTGTCACGCCATTAAGTTACCTGGATCATTTGTGAAAACAGCTGCACTAATGTGTCATTTTTATACTTGTGTCTACACTAGTAGATTGTATCTACGTGTAAATGAAGGGTAAGATAGTTAAAAGCTTTAAAAAGTTCATCTGTCACTTAAAAACATAATACGTTAAATTTTTTTACTATCAACTATGAGTTGGTCAGGCTAGAGGCAGAGTCAGTGATGTGCAAAGTTTTCCTCTTTTGCATCTCAGAGAAACAGGATTAGTTGAACTGACAAAAGATTAGCAGGCAGATGGCACATCATGGAGGGCAAAGCACATTGTCAAAGCTCATAAGACAACCTGCCCTGGGGTTGGTTTGGCTTGGCACCCATTAGAACAACAATTTGGAGCAGACAATGAGAAAATTAAAATATAAGGAAGACAAAATAATTGTTGGGGTTCTCAATTTTTCTTATTCATATGAGATATATAGAAGATTCTAAGCTTTCTTCAGCAAAACGCTGGGAAATGTGTGGAAGGTATTTTGCCTTGTACAAACAAGTTTGCCACACACATGTAGACAGCGTGGTCCTGGAGTACAAAGAAAGCGTTCCTCAATAAAAGAGGAATTCTGCTGCTTCCTCGGCAAACAGGACAGCTAAGGTAGCGCAGGTGGAGATGCCCAGAAATGCTGAGCCAGAGTGTGCTGAAGGGTGTGCAGGAGGGCATGCAGCAATTTCATTGCGCAAAAGCCACTCAGAGCTGCTAGGTCCCCAGCACTATCTTCTTCCCAGCTGTCATTCTGGATCTGTATCTAATATCTGAAGATGACATAGCTAAACTCCACAGGCAAAAAGGTTTGTATAATTTAGAAGTTTGACATAAAACTACCTAGGTAGTTGGTGAGGTATAAACTAAAAATACTTAGTTCTATTCTTGTGAAAAAATTAGCTCTGCAGTTTGTACAAGAAATATGGCATAGCTTGGCCAAATACCTGCTTATAATAAGGTACCTCACGGTTTCATCTTGGAGCCTGCTTATATTCTAGATGGCTACTATCATTTTGTGAATGCTGTGTCTAACCCATTAGTGGGCTTCCACCAACCTTTCTTCAGAGGCAAGTGGAAGCTCGTAGTCAACTCCAGGATTTCCAACCTTGGTTTTCCAATTTTGGAAATTTAGGGGATGTTTTCTACCAATTCGTTCTGATTACTGGCTTATTAAGGAATTTGATGGCTACTGTGATATAAACAACAACATTGGTTGCTTTGCTCCTGCCAAACTTTCTAACTTATCTAACTGGGTCACCGGTTTACTGAGGTGCACTTTAGGTAAAATCCTGCTGCAGCTAGTCTGATATTGAAAAGCTGCGAAGGCTTCTTCCCCTACAAAAAGGGTTATTAGCACAAAGTCTGATGCATTAAAAAATTAGCTATATGCTAATCCTAGGGTTGGCAGTATGAGTAATCTGAGCATGAACAGAAGGTTTAGGTTTGGCAGGCATGATTCATATAATCCTACTGGAGTCTGCAGAGGTTAGTGTCTTAACTGAATCATCAGCTTCTGATGATGTTCCTTCTCTTCTTGCCCAAGAGAAGGAAGGAGCCTTAAACAGCCCAGCACCTTTTTCCCCAGCAGCCTGATAAAGTTCCTGACCTCAAGTTTGTAGGGCTTACGTTAAGACAATGAGCAGAGATTGTGAACAGCATGACTCAGCATTGTCAGCTGATGTGGGTTGCTGGTATTTCATTTGTGTTATTGGAAAGAGGAAGCTAGGCAGCTTTTTACAGCTACTTGAAGATGTTATCTTCAGTAGTAAAAAATAAATTCAGGTAATGGTTTTGTGTTTTATTTAAACTTTTAAATGCATGAAAATGCAGTAATGGGCAATTCTTTAAAACATTCCTTTCTGCTGCTTCAGTTTTTTATTAGATTTTTTAAAAAAGAGTAGTTTTGAACTGGTTGAAACCAGCATTAATTCTGTCACGGCCTTCACCGGGACTAGGATTCAACATTAGTGTCTATATTTGTAAGTCTGAATTTAGAACAAGTAGGAGAAAGCATTTGGTATGTTACAGGCAAAAATGGTCTACAAGCTGTGTTCCATGCACAGTGAAAAAATCATATATATTCCATCTGTATACCTGCTTATGTGATTTGCTTTTTTTTAAATAGCTTATTAAATTAGAGTTAACAGATGCATGGTGTCTTTGTACCAGCTTCTACTTGCACTGCTAGACAGAGCAAAAAAAATATCTTGGAAGTTAAGTTCTAATCCTCCAAACTTACCTGGACCAAGAAGAAATTTTGGTCTTCGTGAAATTCAAGCAAGATTTGTCAAAATCCTCCCCACCAAAAAAGGCAGGCAGTTACACACAGGCTATGTTATTAGCTGTGACTCTCATGTGGCCTCTACAAGTCTCAAACCTGCCTGTACCCTCTAGTCTGAGAAGCAAGGGGTTTAGATCAAGGAGCAGGCTGTGCACTGAGTTGGGTCAGGATTTGACATGCAAGCGCAATTCTACTTTTCCTGTAGTCAGCAACTACTATGTCCACATTTTGTTATCTCCCAGAACT